CCCCAAAACCCCAAAACCCCAAAACCCCAAAACCCCAAAACCCCTAAATGACTTAAAGCTATTTTCTTCATAATCTTTTAAACATGGATAACTTAAAGGAAGGCTTCAAGTTGTTCTTCGACCTCGTCAGGATCCCGGTTATCGTATTCTTTCTCTACGTAGTCTACTACATCTGAAATAGGCTATTTCTGCACCCCTATTTATTCAGAAGGAAATACAAGAAGTATCCCAATGTGTATGTTGATCCTGAGTACAAGCTTATGATGGGAGAGATAGATACATATCTTAAAAATCAATCCCAAAACAAAGTTTTTTACTGCCATAGAAAGGAAGTAGCTCAAATTATAAACAAATATGATCTTTCAGTGTCCCTTGAAGGTATATATACTGGGCTTAAAGTAGTGTCTCCACAAGCAATGAAGGAGTTCTTTGATCTTCAGCCTGGCAAGATTGATAGGCAGCCTGAAACACGAGGGATAGGCCAGGTAGTTCCCAGAGGTCTTATGAATATAAGAGCAACAGCAGACTTTAAAGAAAAGAGAAAGCAGTACCTTTCTTTGCTCAGTTTGAACTCTTCATCTAAATATCTTCCCTATATGCTAAAAACTTGTGATGGAATGTTTCAAAAGATTCCTGAAAATAAGTACTTCGAGTGTAATATTGTCTTAAATTGCTTGACCTTTTCCATCTTCTCAAGCATTGTTTTTGGGGAGGACGTACAAGAGTATCTCAGTGATCCTGAAGTGAGGTATGATTACATCACAGAAACCAGAGAAACTGTCCAACTTTCATTCAGAGAATTTTTTATTAAAACAGTTCAAAGCTATATTGTTCAATACTATGACATTTATGGAACGATTCTTCCATTTTTGAACACATACAGAATCATTGAACCCTTCAAGACGAATCAGAAGAATGTAACGAAGCTGTATCAGATTCTTGAGGATATCTGCCAGAGGTCATCTGATCCTAAAAGTATTCTCAAACAATGTGAAAACTTATATGACGACTTAGTCATGTTGATGGTAGCAGGAACTGACACTTCTTCCCACGTGTTATGCTCTCTCATCTATTTCCTTGAGAAATTTCAGATAAAGGATAAGCTCAGAGAAGAGCTGAAGACTAAAGGCCTTGACAAAGGCATCAAGCTGGAAGATATAACCTCAGATAAAGTGCAGGAGGTTGATTATCTTAACTATGTCATCAAGGAAACTATGAGGATGGATTCCCCAACCATTGATTCCTTTGGGTATCAAGCATATGAAGACATCAATATCTGAGTAAGCTTTGTGCACTAATTTTTAGGGAGTTCCTATTTCTAAAGGTACTCTAGTCAGACCAGATTTCACGTCTGCTCATTTTAGCCCAGATGAATGGCACTCTCCGATGGATTTCATCCCAGAAAGGTTCGATCCGGAGTCTGAATACTTCTATAAACCATCACAAGATGGAAAAAAGGAAGCCAGATCGCCTTATTCGTGGTTGACTTTCTCTGCTGGAATGCGTAAATGCCCTGGCCAAAGCCTGGCAATGCTAGAGATCAAGATCCTGATTACATATCTGATAGTCAACTTTGACTATGAAGTTGACAAGGATCTCATCGAGAATGATTATGTTGGCTTCGGACTAGGATCCCACTTCAAACTAAGAATGAAGCTCATGAAAAGAGTGTAGAATCTTTTAAATCTTCGAAGAGATTATACAGCTTTTTGGGGTTTTGGGGTTTTGGGGTTTTGGGGTTTTGGGG